ATAACGAGTTCTGTATTCATTCACCTGTTCTGGATGTTGCTGGCTTTGTCTCCTCACCCTCTTCCATTGTGCTCGCAGGTCAGTTTCGATTAGGGTGAGGTGAATCTCCTTTGCCTCCTGCCTATGCATTAACCGCTTTTCTATAGTGATTTGGCTTCTTCGTTTCCAAATAGTCCAGAGGCTGTATTGTCTAAACAGTTGGAACATTTGCTTCTCAAATGGTTGCCATTGGCTAGGGAGGTCGAGTCCCAGCAGTAAGGTGGTCGTCCGTGTTGGAAACGGCGCCTGTGAGAAGTGGCTCCAGATAGTCTTAACTTCCTCCCAAATACCATACGCCTCTGCGCATTTCAACAGGCAGTGTAACATTGTCTCTTGGGTCCCTGCTTGGCATACTGTGCACAGTGCATTGGCCGGGTCCCTCTAGGCTTGACTTCTCCTTTCGTTTAACCATGCGTTCACCGGAAGGGCCACATGGGCTATTAACCACTGCATACTTCTGACTCTGCCCAGGCGTATTGTGTTGATCAATGCCCATGGTATTTTGGGTAGGTGGTTCGGTGGCACCCCTACCCTGTTCTTCCATCACTTCGACAGCGGCGCCGTGAGGGGGTGAGATCTCCTTCTCAGTCTGTACCCGATTTGAGTGGCGTAGTGCAAAATGTTGACTCTTCTGTTCATCCCGTTCTTCCACTTCTGATTTTCCACGCCCACTCCCCTGGGTCTACCTCCAGATCTTCCACCGGGGTGGATGGGTAGAATATTGTGAAGTCTTCTGTCTCTAGCACTCTTACTTTATGCAGGTGCTGTTTTTGAATAGTGATTGGCGTTTTGGAGTCCCGATCCAGTAGGCAAGTGGTGCTTCCCGGATTTGTGATAGTATACATGTCCGCATGCAGCCATTCCCTTCTTGTGGGCTCTTGGTCCCATATTCCGAAGGCTTCCCCTGGTTCCTCGTCGCATTGCCATGTAGCCCAGTCTCCCAGGCCCCATTGTGCTCCTCTCCGTAATAACTCTGTCCACCCTTGTGGGATGGCCTCCATAAGGACCTTGAGGTTCTCAGATAGTCTGTGGCATCCCCTTAGGTCTGTCCTTAGTTCCCCGACAGTCTTCCACCGCCTTTCCCCCTCTGCCCATAAATGCTTTACCTGCCATACCCCGTGCTCTAACCACGTCCCCCACTTAGTATCCTTGGTTGAGAGTGTTAATGGTTTCCCCTGTGCATCCTTGATACTTGAATTGCAGAATAACAGTTGGCGGAGAACTTCTTCTCTCGTGTGTGGCTCCCTTACCTTCGTCGGGAATATGTCCTTCCACAGCTTCAGCATTTGACCCCAATACGACACAACCCTAGGTCCTTCCTCTGTACCCGCTCTACCGCCCTCCCCTCGACCCACCTTGGCCCAAGTGCTGCACATGATCCAGAACTGCCCCGACATATTCGTTGGCGTTTTATATTTGGCTATTTGTCTGATCCTATGTAGCGCCAACGTTGTCCAGGGTAGCTTTTGATGGGATATTAATTTAACGACCCATTTCGTTTGGAGCGCAGCGTACCATAAAATGGAAAAGATGGAGGTGTTCAGAATCAGCGCCCTGTCGAAGATTGAAGTGTAAACCGCTGACCAAGCCCCCAGTTTTGCTAGGATTTTGGACATGAGATCGGCTGCCATCGAGTGATGTAGCCCGGCTTCTGTGATTTTAACCCCTAGGTATCTCAGCGAGATATGTGCTGGCTTCCATTGCAGTCCTTCTTGGCTTGTGACTGGGTCTACAGCCTCTTCTTCCTGGTTTGCTAGCCATCCGCCTACGGTCTTCGGCCAATTGATCTTCATCTCATATGCTAGGTGGAAAGCCTCCATCGCCCGCGTTAGAGCTTGAAAGGATGAGTCTGATGCTCTTATTAGTACTGTGAGGTCGTCTGCAAAGAGGAGAGTCGTAGGCAACTGGATAAGATGTCCTTGCCGGTCTAGTTCCGCTGTAAGTCGCTGTATTGATAGATCTTTTCGCAAAAAGGATGCCACTGCTTCCATTATGAATAGGAAGATTGGTGCCGCCAGGGGGTCTCCCTGTCTGACCGATCGTGACATCCTATATCTCGTTGATAAGTAGCCATTAACCTGGACTTGCCCGTGAGCATCGTTGTAGAGGACTCTAATCCATTTCCGAAAGTTGGGCCCTACTCCCATCTTCTCCATGCATTGCTGCAAAAAGGGCCAACTGACTTGATCATACACCTTTTCAAAGTCAAAGAAAAGTATTGCTGCGTTAATTCTCTTGTCCTTTATGTAACGAACGGACTCAGTTAGTGTTATGACATTGCCTAATATGAAACGTCCTGGTATAAACCCCGTCTGGTCCAAGTGAAAACATCTCGCGGTGATTGTTGTGAGTCGGTTAGCTAGAACTTTTGCTACTATCTTGTGGGTCAGTGTGAGTAGAGTTATTGGTCTGTAGTTGCGACTGTCTACTGGGTTTCCTTTCTTGTACAATAACGTGACTATTCCCGTTGTCGGGTCCTGTCCTAGTCCTTCTTCTTGCCACGCTTGCTCCAAGCATGCTAGATACTCCTCACCTAGGATTGGCCAATACTCCAACCAGAACCCCCTGGTCAGTCCATCTTTTCCTGGCGTTTTGTTTGGCGCCATTGCCTTTAATGCCTTCCATAACTCCTCCTATGTAAAGGGGGCGTCGAGCTTAGCCGCTTGTTGTTGGGAGATCGTAGGCTCAAGATGGAACAAAAATTTGGAGCGTGCCTCCTACATTTGATGTCTTGGGTGCTTGGCTTCCCTTGTTGCGTACAGCTTGCTATAAAAATCATGAGCGACTTGGACCATCTCCTCTATGGCAGACGTTGGTCCTTGCGGTCCCTCCAGTTTATCTATCAGGGCATTCCTTCCTCTGGATTTGATTTTTTGAAAGAAGAATTTGGTCATTCGCTCCTCTTCTTCCCACTCCCTTACCCTGACCCTCATTTTGCAGACCGCGCAGTCTTCAGCGCTCCCACTCTGCTAACTCCTCCCTCGCTACCTCTAACTTCCTTTCTTACATAGCTACCCCTGGACACCTAATGATGTTTCGCTCTGCTACCCTCATTGCTTGCATTAGTACCTGTTCTCTCTCCCTCCTCTTCGCTGCCATCCGCTTGGCCACCCCCTCAGAAGCTTTGGATAGGGCTATAAGCAACTCTGGAAAGGCCTACGTCTCCGGATTATGTGTCTGACGGACTTGTAGAACGGCCTGTCTCATTTCCGTAGTACGCATCAGAGAGTTGTTTAATTTATAGAAACTCTTCCCCCTCTTGACTTGTTTATCTATGATTAGGTGGAGAAAGATAGGCTTGTGATCCAAGCCTGTCACATAGGGTAAGTCTCCTATGCCCACCGTTTGTATCATGCCCATTATTCCTGGCGAGATTAGAAAGTAGTCGATTCTTGACGTTGACATGTGTTGGCTACAGTTCCTTTTAAGGTATGTAAACTGCTTTTCCTTCGGGAAGTGCAGCCAGTAGGGGCCTACTAGGTCCCTGCTTGTCATCATACTGTGGATTGGCAGGGCCTCCTCTCCCGCTCCTTCATCCCAGTGTCTGCTTGCTACTGACATTCTATCTAGGCTGGGGTCTAAGGCGACATTCCAGTCTCCCACTACTATCAGGTGCCTGTCCGAATCTAGTAGCTCTTGTCTGCGCTCCACTGTAGTCCTCCTTCGCTGGCATCCATTGGGGCAATAAACTGCCAACAGTGTATGTGGCTCGTCGTGGAAGTCGAAATTGACCTTTACCTATCTTCCTTTTGACCTTTACCCATCTTCCTTCTGTTGTATCCACCAATGTATCTCTCACAATTATCTTCCCTTCCGCTGCTGAGTTGCTATTCCGCAGAATGGCCGCTCCTGTTGAATGTGGTCTGACTACTGGTGCCCACCATCCCTCTTTTACCCGAAGTAGCCTTTGTGTTAGTCTGCTCCTCGTTTGTTGGTGCTCTTGAGATTCTGTGAGGTGAGTTTCTTGGAGGCAGATGAAGTCAAGTGGGGAGTTATCAAGCCATCTTGTGTATTTTGTGACGTTATTCCACTTGTCCTAGTTGCCCAGAACGCCCGCCAGCCCGTTCACGTTCCATGTGGTAATCCTGAGTTTCGGGGTTGTCAGGTTTACTTGGTCTCTCTTCGTTTTCTTCTTTGATCTTCGTTCCCCTCCCTCCACCATTAGATGTGAGCCAGCGTGGTCCTTCGTTTCCCATGTGCTTCATTTCTTTAAGATCCTACCACAACCAGGTCATTTCTGATGATTTTTGTGCTATCTTTTCCTACAAGAATTCTGGCTTCCAAGCAAAGGCGTCCCTTTTGACTGCAATTGCTGCACTTCTGGCTACCCATTCCGCCGCCACTTCCCCTCCTAGCAGTCCGTATGGGATTGTTTCCACCACCTGCCAGGGCATCCATATCAAGCCTTCCCTCAACTCTGCTTTGGCCTGTAATTGCATGAGTATCGGTCTGAAGCCCGCCAGTTCGCCCTCTCCCCCTGTGTCCATCCCTGCCATTGTGGCTTCCTTCCTCTCCCCTAACACGTATGCTCGCTTAGGCAGGTCCTCTCCGATGAGGTTCTGCAAGTCCTTTCCTGTGCAAGCGCTTACTGGTGCAGTGCCCAGTTGGAGCGAGCGGTGTATTGCCACGTCCCAGTTGGCATGTTGCTCATTCCATCGGCACAAAAGAATTACCCTTCGTCTGACTCCATTCCTTGCCTCCAATCTCGCCACTGCTTCGATCTCTTTTTGTTGTCCCTGAGCTATCTTTGCAAGTTTATGTTTGCTTCTTCGAACTCCCTGTTCTCATCCTTCAGGACATTAACTTGGGCTTCCAGAATCGCCTCCTGCCTCTGCAGATCTTGCTTTGCCTCCCCTTCATCCTGCTCCTCCTGCTGCTCTACCTCTTCCATTTGTTGGTCCTGTGTGTTGTGTACCCGTTCCACCTTGCTTACCTGTTCTTCCTCTACATGCGCTTTCCGCTTTCTGTTGCTAGATTTGTTGCTCTTGTTGTGGTAAGTCTTAGGCCATTGAAAGCACCTGCTGAACTCTTCATCCTGGATATGAATGTCATTCTTGTTGAGGCGAGCTTTCCTTGCGTACTAAGTCGCATCAAACTCGTTTATCTCCTCTTCCTTGTTCAGCAATTCAAAGCGGTTTTCTGTGGTGATGTCCTCCGCCACCTGGGTGGCCTGCTTTAGGTTCCTTAAGTTCTTGTGGTAGGCCAGCCTGATCTCGCACTCTATCGTTCGTCCCCATTCCAGTTGTTCCACCGTTTGTATCCACTGTTCGAGTGTGTATTCTTCATCGTTTGAGTATCCATTCCCGCCGTTCTCCTCTGATGAGTCCTCCAGGTCTGCGTCCGCTGCGGAGTCGCTCTGATCCTCCTCCGCCTGTTCAATCTCTTCGTCCGTCATGTTTTCGTGGTTGTGCATATACCTCCTTTTGCCCCCCTTATCCTCTGTGGGTGCCTCCGTTGAGGTAGGCTCCCGGGAGATGTCCATTGATTCTCCTTCGGGCCCACTGGCTTCCGACCCTATTTGCTGGCTTGTTGCCTTGTCTTTCTATATACTAGTGTCCGCTAATCCAGACGTTTGACTCCCTTCCTCCCGTTCGCCCCTGCTGCCTGGCTGCAACCTCTTGCTGTGTGGATTCTATTGTTTCTGTTGGTCCACTCCTTCCGAGTCTCCAGACAGCTCCTTCCTTTTGAGGAAAGAGCTTTCTCCACTTGTATTCCTTCCCTCTCCCTCCTCGCACTCCATGTTCTCCCCTTCCTCCTCCCAGAGTTCATCGACACTTTCCTTTTGGCTCTTCTGCTGTTCTTGATGTTGATTCCTGGCTTTGAGGTTCTCGAGAAAGGCTTGCTACGTCGTTTTCCCAACCAAGTGAAGCTCGTCCATGGTGTGCATCCTTTGCTGGTCATCCTGGATCATTGATTCATCTAACATTGGTTTGATCAGGTACCCTGTTTCCTTTTCCTCCATCCTTTTGGTGCCTGTCTGCCGCCACCTGTTGTCGTAAGGTGGGTAGATGCTCAACTTGACTGTTGGTGTGTTCTATAGGACCCACACGCACTTTGGTGATTCCAGGTTGTCGTCGAAAATGCATCCTCTGTACTGCGCTGAGTTTATGTACCAAACCCCTGGCTTGCTTTCGCATTCTTCCAAAATTGACTGACGCAGCCGTGCTTGTTTATTGCCTGCTCCCAAGTGACCTCGCCCCCTGCACTTAAAGCAAAAGGGGTTTGTTTTTGTCGAGACGAAGATGGTGATCCTCTGTCCACTCTTCTTGAAGATCCACTGCTCCGGAAACTTTGGTGGTGCACCTGATTGGACTTCCAAACATGCCACCCGCGAATCGTGATTGGGTGCGAGAAAATCCGCGTTGGCTGGGAGCCAATCAATAATGGGGTTATTAGGGTATTCCTCCGTCAGCCTCTTTTGTATGAAGCTGTGCATGCCTTCTGACAGATTGTCGAATTGGACTCAAAAACGACTCCTCATCATCGACTGTCGGTGCCTTGAAGCCTCTGCCTGAGGTGGCCGTGGGGGTTTCCATGGTTGCACAGTTACCACTGCCCCCTTGCACTTCAGCGACCCAATGGAGAGTAGGTACTGCGCATAGGTTGGATCGACACATAGAATCATTACCGTATACCTCCCCCTCTTATGATATGAAACCTCTGCTTCGCATCCTGGTACACTTTCCAATGCTCGCAGCCTATCCATCACCCATCTGCGCTTTTCATTCAGCGAGAGATCTCAGTTTTTACCGGAGAAATTAAAAAGGACAGCGTGTTTTTCGTACAACTCGTTGAGCGATGGGATATTCTCCTCTGGGTATTCCCACACGTCCACCTCTTCCTCCTTCTCCCCTTCTCCCTTGAGCATTTCCTTCGTGACCTTGATTTCTGCTGTAATTTTTGTTTTTTCCAACAAAAATTTCATGGCCCTCTGCCCTAGCGTGCGAGGTTTGACCATTCTGGCTCCGTTAGTCGTTGTTGACTGTGACGTAGCTTGGGATGGCTGGGTTCCCAGACTGCTGCCCTTGTTTGAAGTCCATTCTCTCCTTGTCGCTCATGGCCTTTTGAGCCGCCACTGTATATGAGATTGACATGGTTGTTGGCTTTCCTCCCCCTTCCCTCCGGTGCCCTTTCTCCTCCTCCATGTCTTTTCTCCCATTATGCGCCCCGCCTCTCTTCTCCCCTCGCTTGCCCTTTTTTTTTTTTTTCTTTTTTTTTTTTGGCCTCTTTGCGCCTTTGTGCGATGTCAAACGGATCCTCCCCTCACTTCCCCCTTCCAACCCCTTTTTGTCGCCTTCTTCCTTTGTTTTTTCCTACTCCTTCTCTTACCCCTATCTTCGCCTTTACCTTTCCCTGTTTTCTCACTTACCCCCTTGTTGTTCGTTCGTCTTTCCTCGACCCTCTCTGTGTTTTCGTCCTGACGATCGTCGCCTTGTAACCTTTTGTCTTGTTTTCACCTGATCTCCCATTTTTACGTCTCTCCTGTCATTGTTATCTCTCTCCTCTCATACTTTACTAGTCCCACTAGCTAAAGCTAGTTCTCCGCTTGCCCCTCCTCTCTCGTCTTCAAATCCCACCTAAATGGTGCGCGTTTATACCCCCCTCCTCATAGTCTTATCTCCCAGTTTTTGCTGATGGTGCGTTGCTCTCCAGCAGCAATGGTGTGGCATTCTGAGCCACGCGGGCCCCAGTTAGGGCCCGGTTCCAGGTAGGCAGGGTAGGCCTAAGGGGACGACGGTTCAGATAAGGCCCAGGTAGGACAGGGTACGGCGGTTCAGGCAGGCCAGGGATAAAGGCCCAGGCCAAAGGCCACAAGGCCGGTACCGGTCCAGCATAGGACCTACCGGCGGCGCAGTTTCAGAGGCTGCCGTGTTTAGGCGCCAAGTCCAGTTTCGAATCTGGACCATTGATCAGATCAACGGTCCAGGCCGGTAGGTACCAGCAGGTAGGAGGCCGGCCCAGCACTACAAAAGGCTGGGTACCAGCCTCAGTAGGCAGGTTAGAGGTTAGTAGTGAGATGTTAGTCTGGAGATTAGCGCAGCGCCCAGCACTAGTGAGATTACCGCACCAGTCAACCAGAGGCAGGAGCAGCGAGGGAGACAGCGCGCAGCGGCAAGGAGGAAGTAGCGCAGCAGCTGGAGCAGCACAGTCATCAGCCCAGCCCAGCAGCGCGGCGCCATAGCCACTGTCACGGGTAACAGGGAGAAAGGTCCTACCTTTCTTCCCTCTCCCGTCCCCCCTCCGCTCTCGCTCATCTCTCTCTCTCTCTCCTCCTACTCCTCTAAGTCTAAGTCTACTCCTGGGTTCTCCTACGGGGCTACTATCAGTGTAAAGGGTGGTTACAAATTCTGATGACATTTGAGACAGCGACATTGGGACTACAGGTTGAGGACTACTGGTGGGATCTGATTTCATCTTCCTCTGGAGATGTACTTGACATTGTGAGACCGATATCTGAGACATTGTGAGACACTGTATTCGCGACATTTCGGATTTTCGTTACCTCTGACATTTCAAGATACTATCTTTGGAAACATTGAGTTGACGTCATCTTCCCTCTCCTCCTCCCTTCGTCTCTCTCCTCCCTCCATTCGTCCGTGGATGATCTCAGACCCTGGCCTTTCGTCTACGTCCAAGGCCAGGGCTTTCACACCCCTGATGAATGTTTGAGAGTATTCGATTGCAGTCCAAGTCAGTCCATGTATCTCAAGTCTTCCGCTGTATTTGTATCAACTCTGTATTATCTGGTCGGTTCTGGGAATCTGCGCCATACTTATGACTGTGTTTCACGAGTATGCAACAAATGATATGCTGACGGTGTACTCGGGCTTGTCGTGCTTTGCCGATGGCGTGTTGGTACCTTCCCTCTGGCATCGATGGTGTGTTGACGGTGTTCATGAGCTTGTGTCCTTTTGACCTGGCGTACGCGGGTTTGTCGAGCTTTGCCAATGGCGTGCTGGTACCTTCCCTCTGGCAGCGATGGCATGTTGACGGTGCACGTGAGCTTGTGTCACGTTGATGCACCACGTGCGAAGGCGTGCTGACTTCAGGGCACTCTGCCCTACCAGGTCCAAGGTCGCGGGTCGAGCCCTGCGTTACGCGCTACCCCTGCGGCGCGAGCGGTCTCATCATCAGTCCTCCAAATCACTGTTTCCTCCTCCTTGCCTTCCGTGTTCTTGTTTTTTCTAATTACTATTTCCCCTTGCACCTTGGCTTTCTCGCTGAGAAATTTTAGAGCTTCATTGTCAATAACTGTGGTGAGTGCTTTGCTTGTTTGTGATATGCGCCACTTGCGTTGGAGCCCTGGAGTGTTTGCTTGAATGTTGTTGGGGCCCTGCCACTCCTAGGGCTCTGCATTGCTGCTCTTTCAAGCTTCAACCTATGTCCTTTGTCGTGACTCTGAATGCAGAGTTGTTTTGAGTTCGATTGTCACTGACTTGTGAGCTGGGCTGTGTTGGCTGAGAGCGTGAAAGGATCAGTGTGGGGAGAAGGAAGGGAAGGGAGCGGCTTGGGGGGTTGGGTTGGGTGGTTCCCTACCGCTTAGTCGACAGTGTATCAAAACGAGTTGCGGATATGTGGCAGAAGAAGGCTATTTTTATGGGGGGTATGGCGAGAAGGGGAGAGATGGATGTGGGGCTATGTAGAGGGGTTGTAGCAGGTAGGTGAGGATTTGTTGGAGGCGAGTGGGGTCTCAAAGATGAGATGGGTTTCATGGGGCAAGGGAGGGGGGAAGGTTGGCACGTAAGCGGTGGAATAGAGGTGTTTGTGGAGGTTGGGTGGGCTGTAAATCGTTAGTTAGGGCTCTGGATAGTGGGGAGTCGGGGAAGTTAATGTAGAAGGGAGGAGGATAAGTTTCCGTCTCACTTTGCCTGCAGAAGCCAACTTGTGTCTGTTCTCTGCCTGCTTTCTTCGTCATGTTCACCCTGAAAGTCGTAGTCGCTGTTGTCAAAAAGATTTTGTTTTCTACTACCATGTCATTGCCACTATTCTTTCCCGCACCACTTGTCTCTTCCCCAGTCTCTTCCCCTCGTAGATAGAACGAGTTCCTCTGGAGGCTATACCACCATTCGTCCGATAGAACAAACGACTAGATCACGTATTGATCCCCTTCGACGGGAGTCTTGGGACTCGTTTTTGTTTTTCACTTTAGCCTGAACTTGTCGCCTTGGAAGATTGACGCTCCCTTGTCAACTTCTGAAGTCTTCTCAAGAGTGCCCCCCCGTAGATAGCATTTTTTCGTTTTTTTTTTTACAATAAGTTAGTAAGAAGTGCACTCTACAGATTGGTGTGAAGTATGGTTAAAATGACGCTTTGGTTTTCTTATAAATGGGGGTGAAAATTGGGGGGTCGGTTAACCTTCTGTTGTAGATAGACACGTAGAGGAATTCGCAGGGGCTGTACCGCACACTTTCCGTATTTAGAAAGTCCGTTTGGGTAGCCCTAGATCTTGTTCTTGTTCTTAAATCTTGTCTCGGGTCTTGTTTGTTTTTCGCTCTCTGCTGTCTCTTCGTGGTCCCTAAGGCGAGACCTTGAGATAGCCTAAAGATTCCTCT